TGGAAACTTTTGAAGATCTTTTTGTATTTTTAAACTTTTAACATTTTAAGTGTGGTATTGTAAAATTTTTTAGCTTGGAGAGACTTCAATTTTGTATTTTCTAAATGTTGATACAGTAGGATCTTGTAATTTTGAAACTCTGGAAAAATTAATATGAAGAAATTGTTCAAGATTTTTAACACATGTTTCACACCTTGAAATATACCTTATGTCTACAATATGCACCCTTAAAATATATCTCGTCTACAATATACACCCTTAAACATAGCACAGTAAACATCATACAAGTCCTCCAAGTACTAAACGTTGCCTGTAAAATTCAAAAAAATGAAATAAAATAAAATTCAAAATAATTCTCAACAGAATTCGTAGCAAACTCAAAAAGTTGCCTCGGAAAAAAATACCTCGACGCAGCGCAACATTTCGAGCAAAGTATAGAAATCGACAAATAAATGCGGTCTTGATTAAACAATTGATATACACAAATAAAGTACAAATGATTATGCAAATAACCGACGATGGAGTTTATCGCGTGCACCGTTAAAATAATATTCGCTTTGTGCGTATCGAGAGTATAAAATTTTAATGGGTATAAAATCATTAACAGACGAATACGTATTGTTCTCACCTGCGAAATTTATCTTTCTCTCCTCGTATACAGGGAGAACAATTACATTATACTATATTTTTCGGTTATTGTTTGCCATCGAAAATGTTTATTTTACCGTAAAGAAAACAAAAAGGTAACCAAGTTTCGCCCGTTGTTCGATTCAATATTTATTTAAAAAAATTGTTACATAAACACAATGGAGATATATCGTAGTTAAATTTATCGTGAATAAAAGTGTTTTATTCCCTGACGAAAAATATTCTTCATAAAAGGGGATTCTCGTAAACGGTCAAAGATCATGATACACCTAGTCAATCATGAAAGGAGCAAACTTTTGTCTTTGTACGAAAACTTTCATAGTCCTGTCTGGGTCACTATGCTCGCAATAACCGATAAACTTTTCACGATGCACAAAAATAAAAGGGCTCTTCTTGTTCACCAAGATATACGGGACACTACCCCTATTTCCATATTATTGTTGCAGTCACATTCGTGGCAAGCTTCATTTCTCTTCCTGCCCTCTTTTCTCTGTCAGCTCTATAACGTTCGAATACAAATTTTACTCAAGATCAAATTTAATTATTCTCATCTCAAATTTCTTATATTTTGCTGTTATGTTTAAGACTTCAGATTGAAATAATATTTCAAAATCATCAAATTTGATACAAGGGGAGTCTTGTTATTGTCCTGCGCTGAGGGCTGTAGACTTAATTATTCTCATTTCAAATTTCTTATATCTTGCTGTTATGTTTAAGACTTCAGGTTGAAGTCACTTTTCAAAATCATCAAATTTGATACAAGGGGAGTCTTGATATTTTCCTGCGCTGAGGGCTGTAGACTTAATTATTCTCATCTCAAATTTCTTATATCTTGCTGTTATGTTTAAGACTTCAGGTTGAAATAATATTTCAAAATCATCAAATTTGATACAAGGGGAGTCTTGTTATTGTCCTGCGTTGAGGGCTGTAGACTTAATTATTCTCATCTCAAATTTCTTATATCTTGCTGTTATGTTTAAGACTTCAGGTCGAAGTCACTTTTCAAAATCATCAAATTTGCTACAAGGGGAGTCTTGATATTTTCCTGCGCTGGGGCCTGTAGACAATGGGTAATGTCTGCCGAAGCTCATAGACATTGATGAGCACATGGGAGCAATTTACGAAACTCGCCCTTAAATTGAAGATTGATGAACATTGTAAATTTACAAATTTGGAGCTTGTACAAATGTTTGAACATTTAAAAATTTGAGAAAATTGTGACTTTCAGTAATACATGCTTGTCCACGTATCGTGCCGCTCGCCCGTACAAGCCCCAAATACCGACTCCACGAATGCAACTAACGTATTCGATGAAGAGTCATTTGCAACGTTAGTAGCAATCGGCCGGTGCTCCCCGTGCCATTCTGGCGTCCGTCAATCGCTAAAAATTCGGCGTTCAGAGGGTCCACAATATTCCAGGGATACTCGTTTCGTGCGAGGAATACCAAAGTCGTGGAGCGTGTACGAGCGTCGAATTCCCGGCAGTCGAGAGGAGGAATATCGAGAAAGAGAGGGTCCGTCCGGGCGCAATGGTAGTCGCTTTTCAGCCGCGCGGGCACTTGGAGGAGCTCGTAAATTGGCGAGAGGAGACGAATAAGAAGGAGCAAGAGACTTCGGTCAACGGAGAGGAGAGACAGAAGAGAGTTCGCGACGAGAGGGGGTTTCGAGAAGAAGAAAGAGAAGTAAAAGGAACCCAGAAGAACCAACCCAGCAGCTACGAGCATCGATTTCTCGAGCGGTGTCACGCTTCTTCGAGCAGGAAAAAGTTGCCGCTACGAGTACACGCGCAGAGCAGAAAAATTGCTGCAGAGGCTAATTACGCTTAGCGTTTCTGAATTTTCTTTTGTACTATTGCTGGAGAGATCGCCACTCCCAGATTTTGGCAAAGTGCTTATCCATTGTCTTACGCTGTAGTCTCTGTTACTAAATGTCATCCTTATTAGTGTGAACATTAAACATGACAAATAAAGCGATTGGACAAAGTCTGTATCTTAAGGAACAGCTAAACGTAGGAAAAATTTGAACATGAAGAAACAGACCTGAGGAACATCCAGACCTAAGATCATCATAGACCTGTCATTCTTATTAGTGCAGATAATAAACATGATAAATAAGCTATTGGATAAAGTCTGTATCCTAAGAAACAGCTAAACGTAGGAAAAATTTGAACATGAAGAAACAGACCTGAGGAACATCCAGACCTGAGATCATCACAGACCTGTCATTCTTATTAGTGCAGTTAATAAACATGATAAATAAGCGATTGGACAAAGTCTGCATCTTAAGAAACAGCTAAACCTAAGAAAAATATGAACATAATGGAACAGACCTGAGGAACATCTAGACTTGAGATCATCATAGACCTGTCATTCTTATTAGTGCAGATAATAAGCATGATAAATAAGCTATTGGACAAAGTCTGTATCCTAAGAAACAGCTAAACGTAGGAAAAACTTGAACATGAAGAAACAGACCTGAGGAACATCTAGAGCTAAGGAACAGGTAGACTCTCAAGAACTTAGTACCTGGAAAAGGACAAAGGTAGACGTACAGGAAAAGTTGGAGCCCACGCACGCATTTAGCTTATTTTTAAAGCATAAACTTAAACTAGAATTTTTATCAAAATACCTGTATACAATAAATCTGAACAATGTCATTATACATGTATCATATCATATAGTACATGTACCTTGATATGGACTAAACCTCCACATACAGACCTCCACATGGTATAGACTTCCATAAATTTAAAGTATAAACTTAGTAAAGCATAAACTTAGACTAGAATTTTCATCGAAATACCTGTATGCAATAAATCTGAACAATTTCATTATACATGTATCATATCATATAGTACATGTACCTTGATATGGACTAAACCTCCACATACAGACCTCCACACGGTATAGACCTCCATAAAGTACAGAGCAAGACTTTCATACAGCATTAACATCACCATTGAGTGTAACAGCATCATTGAGTAAAGAGTAAATCTTGCCAAACTCGTGATGGTAAATCGAAGGTCCAGTATAATAAAGAATAATTTTGCAGAAGCATACTCGTTAGCGTGGCATACGCGAGAGCAGTAAGTAGGTATAGCAGCGTATGTATGTATATGATAATATAACGGTGCCAGTGGCTGTGCGGTGTCTAGCCTAGTAGCACCAGCCTAACCTGACTCAACGTTGTATTATATTTATACAACAGCTGGCTGGCGGAGGTAGGGGGAGTGTGCCAGTCAGCTGATTGAAGCGCTGGAGGGGAAACGTTCGAGAGGGGAGAACGACCTTTATTTAAAGCGCTCGAGGAAGCCTTTCTTCGACTGGTAAACAGTCATCGAATGAACATGCGAGACACCGAGACGTGCTTACGTATGCGCGTGACTGAAATATTAACCGTGGATTTTTATGGCTCCCTTCTCTTTCTCGCGCGTTCGATATCGAATCGGACGATGATAAAACGAGTTACCCGCGTCAGCGTATTAACATAATTAACCGGAATCCAGACGGTTACGTGGACTCCACGATTTTCTTTTACTCCGCGAATCCTGTTGCGACGCTTTTTCTCCGTCTACATATCGCGACCTTATTCTTTCCGAGAACTCCGTGCTCGGATCGAGAAACGAGGACGCCAATGATCATTTTCCTCGTCGCGGCTTTCAACCGTTTATGTAACGTTTCGTTAACTCACTTTTGTTTAAACGCTTTTCGCTCCAGTCCCGATTTGGTACTGTGACAAAATTTGGGAATTTGTGTGTTCGGTAATTCGGTCGCTTGAGGATTATTTGATAAGTTAGAGATGTATTTGATAACCTAAAAGTCTAGAAATGCAGTCTTCAAAAATAACACTTGCTAGAAGATCACTGTAAAACAGAAAATAATGTGGGATACCAATGTGATCTCATCAATAATATTAAATTCAGAGAACGTACTACACAGAACTATTCAGTGCAGCCGAACATTAACCGTGTTAGAATCTGTTGAGAGCATAACCGAGTCAAAGACGACCATACGATTCCAATATCGAGCGTTTCCCCGAATTTCCATCTGGCTGCACAACTCTGATCATATCCGAAAGCACCCTCGTGTCCCGCAAAATCGGACCCACCCTTAAAATCCCGATAACACATATCCATCTTGAAAACTCAGCCCCTAATCAGCGACCCTCGATCATGCAACCCCCTAAGAAGAAGGTTCACGCTAGCCAGAGCTCTATTACTCGGTTTCCCAGAGGGTTTCTCCCCTCCGTCACGAGGTACCATCAGTTTTACCGGGAAAAATGTTCACCTCCTACGTCCCTTACAGAGTGTACAAAGTTAACGGATCTAACGAAACGCTGATGCACGTTTTCAGGGGACTGGCATGGAGAAGGAGAACTCCGCATCGGGCGGAGGTGGCGGGGGCGGTGGAGGTGGCGGAGGAGGCGAAGCAGCGGCCACGGCGACTCCAGGCGCCACCTCCGCCTCCGAGAAACTCCAGGCGGACCAGGCCAATCCGTTGCTCGATCCGACTGCGCTGTTCGGCGGTAAGCCAATTTTTCTTCCCACTTTCTGTTTTTCTACCCTTATTTTGCTTCCTATCACCGACCGGAATTTCCTACATGGAACTCTGGAATTACTGTGCGTTACCTCCCACCGCCCGCTGTAGCTTCACGCGCGCAGTTAGCGTGAGAGGTCCTAGCATTTTCTTATGAAAACTTAATTGTACCGTAGCATTTTTATGATTCGATCACTGTTCCCAATAAGAAATTGTAGAACATGAAAATTAGAAAATTTGAGAATATTAGAAATTTAAAAATTGAAAAAGTGGAGAATTTGGGAACTTAAGCTGAGAATTAAGGAAACTAAATTTGTCAGCTTCAAACCTGAGAACTTCTAATAATGTAATTATTATCATCCACCTCCAGAAAAGTGTTTGAAAGAATATTGAACGAAACAATAGGATGAATCAATCAGACAATTTCAAAAGTTTCAGACCTTGAACAACCATTGACCTCAGTTTACACGTAAAGCAACTTCCACATCCAAGCTGTTCTTTCAGCGAGCCTCTCGTTTCCTGTTCGCGTTCACCCAAGACCCCTTCTAACGCTATTTTTTTCAAAGAAGTCGAAGCTAGCACACTCTGTATTATATATATGTGTATATACATGTTCTTAGTGATGGAGCTCGAGAACGAAGTGCACTGTTCAGCCACTTACTTTAATTAGCACTACTTGCACGTTTGCAATCGAGCCCTTCAGTTGGTTAGCCTTTTCTCCAACGATTCGAGGATCCTTCTAACGTTGTTCTCCTTTTTTCTCGGGCGTTGCTCGAACGATCAGACGACACAGCCCGCGATACACGCCGGTTTAAACCGTATTTCATTCGAGTATTTACTTTAAACGATTTCGTAGCGGACCACCGTTTGCTTCTCGAGGACTACCTTCTCGGAGCTAACTTTCTAGATTCGCGGTGCTATTAACTAATTAAAGCTAGCGATGTTACAGCTCCCGACCGTCTTCATTAACCATATTTAACTTGACAATGTCAACCGGGCAAGGTTATTATTCCTACCAGCGGGACCGTTTGTTCGAATGGGATTAAAATTCAACTTTTAAGACCAGGTGTTTCAACAGTCCGTAAAGGCGTGTATGGAATTTCGGGATACTTCGTTTGTAACTTTAACGCGATCTTTAAAGTTTTAGCGCTTTTCTACGATTTGAGCCGTGAGATCGTACGTCGAATTGCAAGGCACAGAAATTCGAAGCGTGGGACTGCGATGCATAGAATTACAAATCGTAGTCAATTGTGATATGTAGAATCACGGTGCGGGGAATCACAGCGCGTGGAGTTACGGCGCGTGGGATTACAGCGCGTAGAAATTACGGCGAGTGGAATTACAACGCGTGGAAATTACGGAGCGTGGAATTACGGCGCGTAAAAATTACGTCGAGTAGAATTACAACGCGTGGAAATTACGACGAGTGGAATTACAACGCGTGGAAATTACGATGCATAGAAATTTCGGCGCGTGGAATTACAGCGCGCAGAATTTACAACGCGTGGACCTTCACTGCGTAGAAATTCGGCGCATGGAAATTACAACGCGTGGAAATTACGGAGCATGGAATTACGGCGCGTGGAAATTACGGTGCATAGAAATTTCGGCGCGTGGAATTACAGCGCGTAGAATTTACAACGCGTGGACCTTCACTGCGTAGAAATTCGGCGCATGGAAATTACAACGCGTGGAAATTACGGAGCGTGGAATTACGACGCGTGGAAATTACGGTGCATAGAAATTTCCGCGCGTGGAATTACAACGCGCAGAATTTACAACGCGTGGACCTTCACTGCGTAGAAATTCGGCGCATGGAAATTACAACGCGTGGAAATTACGCCGAGTGGAATCACGGCGCGTGGAATTACAACGCGTGGAAATTACGGTGCATAGAAATTTCGGCGCGTGGGATTACAACGCGTAGAATTTACGACGCGTGGACCTTCAATGCGTAGAAATTCAGTGCATGGGAATTACAACGCGTGGAAATTGCTACGAGTGGAATTACTACGCGTGGAATTACAGGACGTGGAACTACCGCGCGTAGACCTAGGATCCATGGAATTACAGCGCGTGAAATTACTCCTAGTGAAATTATAGTGCTGTAAATTATGGCTCGTAGAATTACCACGCGTGGAATTACTGGACGTGAATTTACAGCGCGTGGAATTACCACGCATATGAAACTGCAGAACAAATTACAACGCATGGTCCCCAGAATTGCGTAGAACCCTACAGCGTTGAATACTCGCGTATCACGTAGCAACTCGGTAGATCACGACGCGTAAAATTTGCACACGCGAAGTTGCAGAGCTATCGGTAGAATAACAACGTAAAATTCGTAACCTCTCAAAGCAACTCCGTCGTAACGAAAGGGTTGAACAGTACTTGGATGATTGCCTGTTTCCTATTTCGATCATTGAGAAACAGTTGTTTCTGTAACCGATAGTCAAGAGCCCAATCATACCCTGAAGCGGAGAACGTCGCGATTTTTCGTACGGTAGCAATCAGCGTATCCCAGACTGTTTTCTTTCGCGCTTCGATTGCACCAATCGAATCGATCTTCCGTTCCCGTTACATCCACCACTTGTGTCGTTAATTACTGATCCTCTCCCAATTTCAGTGCTTCTTTCATCGATCGTCAACCGTGAATTTGGATAATAATAATGTTCGCGAAGGATCCTATCCGGCAATTGAACCGATCTATCCACAATTATAGTTCGATAAAAAAGTAACCGGAGACTAGCGGAGCACGGACATCCCGTTTCGAAAGGAAACGAGAACATCGTAGAGAGGCAGGGTTTGAGAAGGTTGTCTTCTCGGACTGTTCCATCGTTCTGAATGGGATTTCGTTTATTTCGTTGCTTCACCTCCGACCTCTCGCGTTTCGCTGGACCTCTCTTCCAGAACTGGTCGTGTCTCTCTCTCCTGTCTTTTCAAGCAAATCCTCTCGAGCGTGTTCCCGTCTCCGTTCCTCTCGCCACTGCACATCCCAGCCCCGGTTTCTTTCTCTATCTCGGCTCGAGTCGGGTTAAATTCGTGGCGCTTTGGGGACGCAAGAACGGACAGACACGACGAAACGTTTCTCCGGCCATCCCTCTCGCCATCATCCCCGTTTCGCTCTCTTTTTCTCTCTTTCCCTCGCTGCAATTCCCGTGCCCACGATCTATCCTGTCTTTCTCTCTTTCTCTCGCTCTCTGCCGGTTCTGTATATTTATTGATTGCCACCTCACCTCGCCTACCATGGCCTCGGTCTGCGGCAGTTTCCCCTTCCTTCAACGAGTCCCTCGTCCCAGGCTCGTTCTGCAGCAAGCAGCACCGCCAACGAACGCCAGCATCGTGCTACGCCACCAAGAGAATCTCTATCTTTCTCTTTTCCTCTCGCCTCGGCACGTTCATCTTCGTTTCTGTCTCTCTTACGCTCGTTCGCCTCGTTGCTGACTAACTCCCTGTCCCGTTCTCTGCTCACGATTTTCTACCGTCCTCTTTGTCTCTCCCTCTCTCTGTTTCACTTTGTCGGGAGAGAAGCTGCCTCTCGCGCTTTTGCCTCCTACGCTCGATACAAACTCGTTGGACGAGCCAGAGTTTTCGTTTGAAACTACCCTCCGGGGTGAGCACCGTGGCCCGACACCGAAGCTTCCTTCTTCTACCGATACACTTTCCTTCTCCCGCTTACTTTCCCGCTTTTTTAGACTTCTACTTTGATGGACTGCTCCCGGATGATGTAAGGTGCGTGGAATTATACCTTCTTGCGAACGGATACGAAAGTATAAAGATACAAAGTACAATGATCAAGTACAAAGGTCCGGACGCTTGATAATCCCCTGCGTTTGGGGCTCCAATGTTCACCCTAAGAGGGAGGCTCAGTCTTTTACATTCTTTATACAACATTATATATCTGTACATTATTTTCTGGCATCAAGCATTTTCATATTTTATGACTCTCTTAACACTGAAACTACCAGACCGGTCAAATGACCGCTTCACAAATTTCTTATTATAAGATGCATATTCTGTTAAGGTGCATTCCTTGAAATCAGCACTGATTTTCATCAAGAGAAAGAATAAATGTGTGTACTTGGTGTATGTATTTTTTAATTTCAAATTAAGTATCTTTGTCCCGCCGCTTGATAATCCCCTGCGTTCGGGGCTCCAACGTTCACCCTAAGAGGGAGGCTCAGTCTTTTACATTCTTTATACAACATTATATATCTGCACATTATTTTCTTGCATCAAACATTTTCATATTTTATGACTCTTAATACTGAAACTGGTAAAATGACCGCTCCACAAGTTTCTTATTATAAAATGCACATTTAAAGTACATTCCTTGAAATCAGCATTGATTTTCATTAAGATGAAGAATAAGTGTGTGTACTAATTTATGTTTCGTCGTTTGTGTATGTATTTTTTAACATCATTTTTAATTTCAAATTAAGTACGCATTATATGTCAGTAGGTTTAGTGTACTAATTTATGTTTCGTCGTTTGTTTATTTATTTTTTAGCTTCATTTTTAATTTCAAATTAAGTACGCATTATATGTCAGTAGGTTTAGTGTACTAATTTATGTTTCGTCGTTTGTGTATGTATTTTTTAACTTCATTTTTAATTTCAAATTAAGTACACATTATATGCCGACAGGTTTAAGAGGCCAACTGTAATTTTAGAACTAAGTGTAGGAGTAATATTTGACATGCTTTTTATGGATAATAGTTTGAATTCCGAGGAACTGTGACGGGAATATTCGGTTTCATAGAAAGTGTATTAAGAACGAATTAGTTCAATAATTTGATACTTCGCCCTACTTGCCAATACGAATAACGAGTTCGTGGAAGCATTATCCCGTTAAGCAGAATGCTTCACTATCGTACAGAAATTATTTTCTGTACCAAGAAAGATCGAGAAACGCCTTAACGACGAAGAGGAGGAAATAAAAAAAGCATCAGCTTCTCCGGATCTCGTTTATAACGTCGCGTTGTGCGTT